CATCAGCTGCACATAGACGTGTTTTGCCCGATAATAAACTGAAAGTTGACTGTGGTGGAGATCTTTGACTGACCTATGGTAAGGATCCAGCCCACGCAGAGTTGTGTGTCTGTCAGAGAAGGGTTTGTCTTCTGGAGTGAACACAGTGCTGGTGATGCTCAGCTGGACTGGATCTCTTTGGTACACAGTGTAACTCACAATGTCTCCATTAGGACGTGCTGGAGTCCGCCACTCCACTCTCACCTGGTAAGTAAAACAACACACAGCAAAGACAGTTGAGTAACAGATTTGAAAGGTCTTAATTTCAATCCTATAAAACCCAAACAGATGAATGACCCACCTGGCTCGCTCCCAGAGGCGTCAGTGTGGGGAGACCCACACCAGAAGGAGCTGATGGGTGAGTCTTTGCTGTGGCTACCGTGCTGCTCGCGGCACCTCGGCTGTTGTTGGCCCTGACAACATAGCTGTATTCCACACTTGGCAGAAGTGTGAAGTCGTGGTAATGGGTCTCTGTGCCAACATAGATAACTTCACCATCTCTGCGGAGTTCATATCCTGTGATGATTCCATTAGGGTGCTCCGGCAGACTCCAGCTAATCTCCACCGACTCTGGGCCAGTAACCTTCAAATGAAAAGCTAAAGGTCACATCGGTCAGATCTCTCAATAGATTTTAATATTCAGTGACAATACAAATGTTTTAGTGAGTGTAAAAGACGAGTGACAGATTTATGTTCAAAGGGAAAAACGCTTATCAGAAGACAAAACCAAATCTCAACCAAATAATAACAGTGGGATTCCAGTGAAAAACAAAAGCTTTATGTTTTACTTATTCTACTGATAATTGAATAAGTTAGTAGAAATCCTGCAGGAGGCACCACTGAACTAAAACTGTCTTCAAAACTGCAAAGAAGTTTAAATTCCTTTCATTTGAAATTTACAGATTTAGGTATTGCACACCAACGAATAGCAAGGGAAACATGAACAAAGATACCTTCAGAGTCGGGGCAGGCAGGCCAGTAGGAGGAGCTTCATCAGTGACAGTGGACAGTGTGACGCTGGCAGTGCACCCTCCACTGGTACAAGCCAACAGAACAAGCTCATATGATGTGTGTGGCTGCAGGTCTGACAACACTGTATGTAGGTCTCTCCCACGGTAAGCCTCTTCACTGTTCAGTTTCAGTATGTATTCCGTCACCTCTCCGTTCTGCATTAATGGTTTACTCCAGGAAATGTTTATACTGCTGGATGTGATGGTGCCCAATGCGGGAGCCTCCACTGCAGCAGGCGGGGCCTCCAGAGTTGTGATATTTGTATGAGGGCTGGTGATGCATCCCTCAGATGTGCAGGCTATGACGGAGTAACTGAAGCAAAAAACGATAACATTAAGTTTGGGCTTCTCTGCTGAAACTAGTAATTTGCTTGTGGTGTTTATTTAGAAACTCCAAAACAGTAAGAATAAAAGCAAGTAATACCTATATGTTGAAAACGGCAACAGGTCTTCATCTGTATAGTTGAGGACAGTGGGGTCAAAGCTGAATGAGAAACTGACATTGTTCCTCTGAATCCTGTAAGACTGAAGTACCCCATTCGGCTCCAAAGGAGGAGTCCAAGTCACTACCAGCTCACTGGGCCGGCCCTGGAGATGACTCACTGTTGGAGGGGCGAGGCCGCGAGGGGGGGCTTGTCTGGTTGTTACAGGTACCCAGGGGCTGCAGGTGTGTCCAGCTGGGTTCTGAGTACAGACACTGAACTCATACTGGGTCCAGGGACGCAAACCAGTCACTGTGTAGGAGAAGGTTTCAGCTTGTTGTGGGGACGTTTCTCTGAAGAGCACCTATGGGAGACAGTGTGGATGATTAGGGTCGATGCCTTCAGTTGCAGTTGAAAACCAAGACATAGTAATCGCTGTAAAATGTGCTGTATTTCTGATAAATACTTCTTTACTAGTTAGAACAGAAACTAAACGTAACACCAGTTTTTATAGATATTAGCAGCACATAGATATTGTGTCAGGCTGACTTAAAAATGATCAGAACATTTAATTTCCTAAACTTTATATACTTCATTGATCCCACAAGAGAAGATTCTCTTTTCTCATACACCAGCTTGTGATAAAGTTAGGGTCAGAGTGCAATCGTATGAGTTTTGTCTTTACTTTCACCTACTTTCCCTCTTTCAATATCTTCTTCGTTACTTCTTCCCCTCCCCTCATCCTCTACACTTCTCCCGAGTAAGAAATACTCTCCAACTGGACCATTGGGTTGGGAGGGAGGGACCCAGGTAAGTGACACGCGATCTGGGCCGATGAAGAGAGGCGACGGTGGAGGCTGGGAGGCAGGCGGTGCTGCTGCCGTGAGGATGTGCTGAGGAGGGCTGTGTGTGCAGCCTGCTGAGGTACAAGCTTCAAGAGTCAGAGTATAAGTGGTCCATGGGTCCAAACGACGAAACAGGAAGCTGCGCGACAATCCGCTGAACTCTAGGTTCCCCTCACTGTACAGGTTGTACATCTGGAACAGAGAGGAGTGAAACGCGGGATTAGTAATAGAAGTAGTGCAGGTGTGTTGACATAATACAATCAGCAGAGGGACAAACGTGTAAAGTAAAGAGTAAGAAAAAAAAAATCGCTGTGTATGCTTCACATTGTGACTTCAGTAGCAGGGCCGGTAGCTGTGTGTGTGTACTGTGGATCAGGGTAGATGTAAAGAAAGTGCAGGCAAATTAATTGCTGTAGTAAACTACAAGTGGAAATTGTGTGTCCTATTGGTGACTTATGAGTGTACACTCGGGCGTTCATATGTGTGTCTGCCTATATTATCTACAGTTACTGTTTTATCTGTGGACCACCACACCTTTGACATGTGCATACTGATTTGTGTGTATTGCATGTACCGTGATGACTCCATTTGGAGTGTGTGGCTGATCCCAGCTGAGCAGTAACGCCCTGCCCTGCTCCCTGTGCTCCACTGTGAAGTTAGCCAGGCCGGCCGGAGACGCCTCCAGGGTCCTAATGTCCACCCATGGACTGGACGCGCTGCCTAAAGGGTCACAAAACATCCAGACTGAATGGAGGTGTTCAGCAGCTGGAGCTTTCAGTATTTGTTGTCGCATTCAACTGTACCTGCCCCATTCACAGCTTCAACACGTAGACTGTACCGACTGTATGGCTCAAGACCAAACACGGTCGCCTCTAGGACTAAACCCTGAGAAAGACAGAACATGCAACATCAATAAGAGTACAAAGAAGTAAGAGTGAAGTACGAGATAATATGAGAAAGAAATGACAGCGTGATAGTCAAAGTGAGGAGGATATTTTAGAGAGAAAGCAGGGTTTAAGACAAAAGAAAAAAAAAAATGCAGATATGTAAAGGGTAATAGGGAAGTGGGTATAATGCCAGAGAAAGGCAAGAGAGCAAGAGTAAATTAGTTACACAAACAAATCCTGCATGAATAAAAACCAGTGCGTTACTCATTAAAACGGAGAATGAAAAGGAACACTAAAACAATGGCAAGCTAAGATGACATAACATGGGATTTGTGATATCAACATTTCAACATACAGGCTCTGCCATGGCAAAGTGAGTACACACCAGAGAAGTGGCAGAGACAGAGAGACTGGCAGGCAGACGGCTGTCCCTTATGGGTGAATTCAAAGCTTCCAGATTGAGTGTTTATGTCACACATGCACCCTTTCATATCACATACACAAACACACACACACAGGCGCAGGGAGTCTGCCAGTAGCTTTAGGCAGTGGGACCCAGCCCAACACCCTGGCAGACACAGGGGCAGCGTGTATGTGTGTGTGTGATACAGTGGGAACGCCATTTACTAATTGATAAGAGACACACTGTTGTTTCAAAAGGCCCTGGCGTGCGATGACATGGTAGTCTGGGAGCACCCAGCTCCAGGATGTAGCAGCGCCTGTTTGATTGTGTGTTTGTTTATGACTGTGAGCTTTGAAGCAGCTATGAGAGGGATGTTTCTCCGAGTGTTTGAACATATTTGTGTGAATGTACAACATGGGAGGCTATATTTCTTTCAAGTGTTGCGTCTGCAGTTAAAAACTGTCTGTTCAGGACTGTATGCTTCCACATAACCAAGCATATGTAAAGAGATTAACTGGCAAAACACTTCAATGCTGCAGCAAGAGGATCAAAAGGTCTCCAATTCAAACTGAATCAAATGAAAACCCTGACAAATCACCGTAGCATGGCACCAAGGATGAACTGTCTGAACAACAACCAGAATGCATGTATTCACTGTTTTCATGTCTGGGAGCCAACATATTTTTCATCCGCAGTAAAATAGGATTAATAAGCCCCTAGACACCTAGACACAAGCTAAATCCTCCTGCAAATCACAGTACTTCTCAATAGGCAGAGGGGAGGGAGGGACACAATGAGAAAGGGTGGGGAAAGGATGGAGAAAGATAGAAAGAGAAAGGGGTGGAGGGAGAGAGAAACACAGACAAAGGAAAGAAGAGAGTGACATGAAATGATGTGGAAGTGAAGCAATGTAGGGCAGAGAGTTTGAAAAGAGGGATAAGAAAAAGTAAGAGGTGAGTAAGTTAATAACTGATGAAGCAAATAAAAAAGGAAAGACAGAGGGAGGGGGAGTGAGAGAGAGAGAGAGAGTAAGACAGAGAGAGATTGAGTGAAGTAAAAAAAAAAAAAAAGGGGGGAGAGAAAGCTAAAGTGGGAGAGAAAAAAAAAGATAGATGTGGCAAAAGGGAGAGACAGATTAAGTGAGCGGGAATGAGAGATCTCTCTACCTTAAAAGCCAGTGAAATATGTGAGGCATGTGGCCTATAAAGCGGTTAACATATGCACATTGTCAATAGCAGCATCTGGCGCTGGCAGATTTTATAGTAGCATGGAGACTCTGCTACATGCCTCTAGATGGCAATACATTCAAACACTTTATCACTGAAACACACCACATTAACGGCCTGCTTGCTACATCACACACACACACACNTAAAGTGCACATGGCGTTATACCTGGTACTGGTATCCAGTGTATGGCAGGAGTCCGTTGTCTTTGCACTGAGTGGAGACATTCCTGTAGACAACTGTTGCTGCACCACTTCTGTGGGTACCAGTGGTAGAGTCCAGCCTGCGGTACACCTCATAATGCAGGATTTTACCATTTGGCTGAGCTGGAGGGGACCAGGTGAGCAGAAAGCTGGTCTGTAGGCTGGTGTGCGTGTCGGGTTGGAGGTCCAACAGTGGCGCCGTCTGTCCAGCAGGGGGAGCCTCCAGCGTGAGTATAGACGACCAGTCGCTGGATGAACAGCCAAGCGCTGTGCAAGCCTCCACCCTCACCTCATACCTGCACAAACGCATAAACAACCACTTATAAGGTAGAAATGTTGGTGAAAAATGTCTCTTTACTCATACAAATACTTTAAACAAGTTTAAAATTCCCAGACCGTGATACCAGTGTATTGTGACTGTAGCTTGAACGAAACCTAAATCAAAAAAAATCGACCACATATTGCATAAATCAGTTTGACTTTAATGTTTATGGAGACTGCTTTATTTTGAAACTTCACAGTTTTGTCAGCAGTGTTGAAACCAGGTACAATATGTACAAAATAGTGCTACTTGTCCAAATTGTTGTGTCAGATTTGTTCAAATATTAAAAAGTTAGGATTTTTTTCACACCACTTTCCATCATATTGGAAACTGTTCCTGAGTCAAACAAATCCACGTCTGTCTAAACTGAATATCCACTGAGACCTACCGTACAGCAAAAACAGAACCAACACTGAGCTTGCATTACAAAGTGGCTAATTTGAAAGGACTGAAATAAATGACAGAGAGGAGAAAGAGAGAGAGAAAGAGAGCAGGAGAAAAGGAAAGAAAAGGGGATGAACAGAAGTTGATAGGACATAAGGTCACCACAGAGAAGGTGAGCGATCCTCGGATGATAAGGCTGATGAGCTTTTATTATCTGAATCTTATCACCACACACACATGTTCATACATACACAGCCACACATTCAGGGGCACTGACATGCACACACGGGAATAGACGTACACAACTGAACATGCATATATACCCCATACACACGAATACACACACACACACACACACATGCAGCCTTTGATCGTTGCTGCTGTCTTTGTGTGGAAGTAGGCGACAGACACATTGTCACACTGTCACGACTGACTTCCATTAGCTTTGAAACACCACTGTCTGTCCATTTGACACCATATTTTTTTAAATTAGGCTTTTTCCATTTTAGCAAATGCATTAGTATCCTAATTTATCACCCAAGCATCAGAAACACGTGTTAACATGTTTCATAGGTGCTTAAATGTTTCCCAGTAAAGACTGCACAGTGAAAATGAGCATCAACGTTTGTGTTCATGAGGAGATAAATAATATATACCAATGAGGGATGAAACAAAACAGTTTGTGAGGCAGACCTGTATTTGTTTTGGATATCAAATATTGTCATAGTATTTAAACAAATTAAAGTTATTCATTTATTGAAAAAAGAAAATAGAGAAACTGGTTCTGGTATTAACTCACTTGTGGTACAAGCGGCCCTGCGCTGTGGTGATTTGCAAAAGCTCTCCCAGTATTTATTTACTACCAAGAGATGGCACTCTGTTCCCTTCTGTGTTGCTCATTCATATATCTTCTTCCTCTCCATATTGTCCTTCATTACACAATTTACTACACAGTCAAATGTGGAAATGAGCTGCTAAACTTTTTTTTTTTCTTCAACCATTCCAATCAATACAGTATAATTAAATGTATAAAACTGTTTACACAAGAGCCTTGTAAAACAGAAAAATAATCAGTGTTCACATGTCAACATATACATAAAAACATCAGCTGCACATAGACGTGTTTTGCCCGATAATAAACTGAAAGTTGACTGTGGTGGAGATCTTTGACTGACCTATGGTAAGGATCCAGCCCACGCAGAGTTGTGTGTCTGTCAGAGAAGGGTTTGTCTTCTGGAGTGAACACAGTGCTGGTGATGCTCAGCTGGACTGGATCTCTTTGGTACACAGTGTAACTCACAATGTCTCCATTAGGACGTGCTGGAGTCCGCCACTCCACTCTCACCTGGTAAGTAAAACAACACACAGCAAAGACAGTTGAGTAACAGATTTGAAAGGTCTTAATTTCAATCCTATAAAACCCAAACAGATGAATGACCCACCTGGCTCGCTCCCAGAGGCGTCAGTGTGGGGAGACCCACACCAGAAGGAGCTGATGGGTGAGTCTTTGCTGTGGCTACCGTGCTGCTCGCGGCACCTCGGCTGTTGTTGGCCCTGACAACATAGCTGTATTCCACACTTGGCAGAAGTGTGAAGTCGTGGTAATGGGTCTCTGTGCCAACATAGATAACTTCACCATCTCTGCGGAGTTCATATCCTGTGATGATTCCATTAGGGTGCTCCGGCAGACTCCAGCTAATCTCCACCGACTCTGGGCCAGTAACCTTCAAATGAAAAGCTAAAGGTCACATCGGTCAGATCTCTCAATAGATTTTAATATTCAGTGACAATACAAATGTTTTAGTGAGTGTAAAAGACGAGTGACAGATTTATGTTCAAAGGGAAAAACGCTTATCAGAAGACAAAACCAAATCTCAACCAAATAATAACAGTGGGATTCCAGTGAAAAACAAAAGCTTTATGTTTTACTTATTCTACTGATAATTGAATAAGTTAGTAGAAATCCTGCAGGAGGCACCACTGAACTAAAACTGTCTTCAAAACTGCAAAGAAGTTTAAATTCCTTTCATTTGAAATTTACAGATTTAGGTATTGCACACCAACGAATAGCAAGGGAAACATGAACAAAGATACCTTCAGAGTCGGGGCAGGCAGGCCAGTAGGAGGAGCTTCATCAGTGACAGTGGACAGTGTGACGCTGGCAGTGCACCCTCCACTGGTACAAGCCAACAGAACAAGCTCATATGATGTGTGTGGCTGCAGGTCTGACAACACTGTATGTAGGTCTCTCCCACGGTAAGCCTCTTCACTGTTCAGTTTCAGTATGTATTCCGTCACCTCTCCGTTCTGCATTAATGGTTTACTCCAGGAAATGTTTATACTGCTGGATGTGATGGTGCCCAATGCGGGAGCCTCCACTGCAGCAGGCGGGGCCTCCAGAGTTGTGATATTTGTATGAGGGCTGGTGATGCATCCCTCAGATGTGCAGGCTATGACGGAGTAACTGAAGCAAAAAACGATAACATTAAGTTTGGGCTTCTCTGCTGAAACTAGTAATTTGCTTGTGGTGTTTATTTAGAAACTCCAAAACAGTAAGAATAAAAGCAAGTAATACCTATATGTTGAAAACGGCAACAGGTCTTCATCTGTATAGTTGAGGACAGTGGGGTCAAAGCTGAATGAGAAACTGACATTGTTCCTCTGAATCCTGTAAGACTGAAGTACCCCATTCGGCTCCAAAGGAGGAGTCCAAGTCACTACCAGCTCACTGGGCCGGCCCTGGAGATGACTCACTGTTGGAGGGGCGAGGCCGCGAGGGGGGGCTTGTCTGGTTGTTACAGGTACCCAGGGGCTGCAGGTGTGTCCAGCTGGGTTCTGAGTACAGACACTGAACTCATACTGGGTCCAGGGACGCAAACCAGTCACTGTGTAGGAGAAGGTTTCAGCTTGTTGTGGGGACGTTTCTCTGAAGAGCACCTATGGGAGACAGTGTGGATGATTAGGGTCGATGCCTTCAGTTGCAGTTGAAAACCAAGACATAGTAATCGCTGTAAAATGTGCTGTATTTCTGATAAATACTTCTTTACTAGTTAGAACAGAAACTAAACGTAACACCAGTTTTTATAGATATTAGCAGCACATAGATATTGTGTCAGGCTGACTTAAAAATGATCAGAACATTTAATTTCCTAAACTTTATATACTTCATTGATCCCACAAGAGAAGATTCTCTTTTCTCATACACCAGCTTGTGATAAAGTTAGGGTCAGAGTGCAATCGTATGAGTTTTGTCTTTACTTTCACCTACTTTCCCTCTTTCAATATCTTCTTCGTTACTTCTTCCCCTCCCCTCATCCTCTACACTTCTCCCGAGTAAGAAATACTCTCCAACTGGACCATTGGGTTGGGAGGGAGGGACCCAGGTAAGTGACACGCGATCTGGGCCGATGAAGAGAGGCGACGGTGGAGGCTGGGAGGCAGGCGGTGCTGCTGCCGTGAGGATGTGCTGAGGAGGGCTGTGTGTGCAGCCTGCTGAGGTACAAGCTTCAAGAGTCAGAGTATAAGTGGTCCATGGGTCCAAACGACGAAACAGGAAGCTGCGCGACAATCCGCTGAACTCTAGGTTCCCCTCACTGTACAGGTTGTACATCTGGAACAGAGAGGAGTGAAACGCGGGATTAGTAATAGAAGTAGTGCAGGTGTGTTGACATAATACAATCAGCAGAGGGACAAACGTGTAAAGTAAAGAGTAAGAAAAAAAAAATCGCTGTGTATGCTTCACATTGTGACTTCAGTAGCAGGGCCGGTAGCTGTGTGTGTGTACTGTGGATCAGGGTAGATGTAAAGAAAGTGCAGGCAAATTAATTGCTGTAGTAAACTACAAGTGGAAATTGTGTGTCCTATTGGTGACTTATGAGTGTACACTCGGGCGTTCATATGTGTGTCTGCCTATATTATCTACAGTTACTGTTTTATCTGTGGACCACCACACCTTTGACATGTGCATACTGATTTGTGTGTATTGCATGTACCGTGATGACTCCATTTGGAGTGTGTGGCTGATCCCAGCTGAGCAGTAACGCCCTGCCCTGCTCCCTGTGCTCCACTGTGAAGTTAGCCAGGCCGGCCGGAGACGCCTCCAGGGTCCTAATGTCCACCCATGGACTGGACGCGCTGCCTAAAGGGTCACAAAACATCCAGACTGAATGGAGGTGTTCAGCAGCTGGAGCTTTCAGTATTTGTTGTCGCATTCAACTGTACCTGCCCCATTCACAGCTTCAACACGTAGACTGTACCGACTGTATGGCTCAAGACCAAACACGGTCGCCTCTAGGACTAAACCCTGAGAAAGACAGAACATGCAACATCAATAAGAGTACAAAGAAGTAAGAGTGAAGTACGAGATAATATGAGAAAGAAATGACAGCGTGATAGTCAAAGTGAGGAGGAGGATATTTTGGAGAGAAAGCAGGGTTTAAGACAAAAGAAAAAAAAAAATGCAGATATGTAAAGGGTAATAGGGAAGTGGGTATAATGCCAGAGAAAGGCAAGAGAGCAAGAGTAAATTAGTTACACAAACAAATCCTGCATGAATAAAAACCAGTGCGTTACTCATTAAAACGGAGAATGAAAAGGAACACTAAAACAATGGCAAGCTAAGATGACATAACATGGGATTTGTGATATCAACATTTCAACATACAGGCTCTGCCATGGCAAAGTGAGTACACACCAGAGAAGTGGCAGAGACAGAGAGACTGGCAGGCAGACGGCTGTCCCTTATGGGTGAATTCAAAGCTTCCAGATTGAGTGTTTATGTCACACATGCACCCTTTCATATCACATACACAAACACACACACACAGGCGCAGGGAGTCTGCCAGTAGCTTTAGGCAGTGGGACCCAGCCCAACACCCTGGCAGACACAGGGGCAGCGTGTATGTGTGTGTGTGATACAGTGGGAACGCCATTTACTAATTGATAAGAGACACACTGTTGTTTCAAAAGGCCCTGGCGTGCGATGACATGGTAGTCTGGGAGCACCCAGCTCCAGGATGTAGCAGCGCCTGTTTGATTGTGTGTTTGTTTATGACTGTGAGCTTTGAAGCAGCTATGAGAGGGATGTTTCTCCGAGTGTTTGAACATATTTGTGTGAATGTACAACATGGGAGGCTATATTTCTTTCAAGTGTTGCGTCTGCAGTTAAAAACTGTCTGTTCAGGACTGTATGCTTCCACATAACCAAGCATATGTAAAGAGATTAACTGGCAAAACACTTCAATGCTGCAGCAAGAGGATCAAAAGGTCTCCAATTCAAACTGAATCAAATGAAAACCCTGACAAATCACCGTAGCATGGCACCAAGGATGAACTGTCTGAACAACAACCAGAATGCATGTATTCACTGTTTTCATGTCTGGGAGCCAACATATTTTTCATCCGCAGTAAAATAGGATTAATAAGCCCCTAGACACCTAGACACAAGCTAAATCCTCCTGCAAATCACAGTACTTCTCAATAGGCAGAGGGGAGGGAGGGACACAATGAGAAAGGGTGGGGAAAGGATGGAGAAAGATAGAAAGAGAAAGGGGTGGAGGGAGAGAGAAACACAGACAAAGGAAAGAAGAGAGTGACATGAAATGATGTGGAAGTAAAGCAATGTAGGGCAGAGAGTTTGAAAAGAGGGATAAGAAAAAGTAAGAGGTGAGTAAGTTAATAACTGATGAAGCAAATAAAAAAGGAAAGACAGAGGGAGGGGGAGTGAGAGAGAGAGAGAGAGTAAGACAGAGAGAGATTGAGTGAAGTAAAAAAAAAAAAAAAGGGGGGAGAGAAAGCTAAAGTGGGAGAGAAAAAAAAAGATAGATGTGGCAAAAGGGAGAGACAGATTAAGTGAGCGGGAATGAGAGATCTCTCTACCTTAAAAGCCAGTGAAATATGTGAGGCATGTGGCCTATAAAGCGGTTAACATATGCACATTGTCAATAGCAGCATCTGGCGCTGGCAGATTTTATAGTAGCATGGAGACTCTGCTACATGCCTCTAGATGGCAATACATTCAAACACTTTATCACTGAAACACACCACATTAACGGCCTGCTTGCTACATCACACACACACACACGCACACAAAAACACACAAAAACACACACGCGCGCACACACACACACAGTCACTCAACAATCAAGTACTGTGAAATTCACACGCACAGGCACGTAGACGGGCTGTAATCAAATGGTGTAACACTGAAACACACAACTATTACATTACATTAACAGCTCCCTTAATAACTATTTCCCTCTCATACATACACATTTATACACATCGTGCAGACACACACACACACACACACACAATCACACAAAGCAAATACTTTCACTGTATCTTAACGCACATATTAGGGATATATAGGCAAACACACGCACTTAAAACTACCAGAAAAAAATCATGACATGAATAACAAAGTTAAAAGGTAACTTTAATACCCACTAATCTCTGCTGTGAAGATAAACCAATAGGAGTATAGTAAATCCTACAGACCACACAGCTGGAATTATTTCCCAACCTTCTATTTCTAAGGTATAAACAGTAAGGGTTGACCGTTTTGGGTGTGTATTAATCCAATTCAGCACAGATTTTGGGGCTGAAACTATACAGCTATTTAGCAAGAGACATCTACAGCCTCACTGCAAAATTCAAGCCAGCTTGAGGTGTAGGTATTTTAGTTTTGCAGCAAATGCCAACAGCTGTAGCAGTAAAAACTGCTTTCGATAAATTGCGTTTTTTCTTCTGAGCATTTTGAAAGGAAAGAGCCAACCTATGAAGACCATATGAACAGCGAAGAACGTAAGATATAAAAGGAAAGGGCTCGTGTCAACCTAAATTCAGTGTGCGTGAACATGTGCATGTGTGTGGGGATGATCAAAGTCACCAGTTAATCATACAAAATGCAAAAGAACAGAGGGGGAGCAAGAAGTCAAGAGAAAGAGCGAGAGACGGGGAGAAGTGTAAACAAGACAGAAGGAGAGAAAAGGAGACAATGATATGGAAAGAAAGGAAGAGACAGGAAGAGGTCTCGCTAATTTATACATTAAAGAGCTCTCGGATCTTACATGGTTCAACACAACTTAGCATTGAGGGCAAGGAAGCAATCTATTCAATCTTTTATTTCCTCATTCTGCCTTCTCTTTGGTGTGTGAACTGAGCTACAGCAGGGGTCCTCTGGTGTTTCGGCATGTGTAGCCTGTATAAAAGGGTCAGTGTGCACGTGTGCTCCTTAAACCCGGTGCACACTCGCCGGTATCTGTGTTTATGTGTGTGCATTTGCATGTATCCTAACAAGCCCACATCTGCAAGCATCTTGTTTTGTACCCATGTGTCCCTAAAAGTGTGTGTGTGTGTGTACAACTGCACATCTGTGTGTGTGTGTGTGTGTGTGATATTCAGGTAGAGAGGCATGGTGCAGCCGGGGGGACAGTGTGTGATACTAATTAAGAATAACCATGTGTATTTGTCAAAAGAATTATGCTGATTATCTCACAAAGGCCCCAGCACTGGCCCCGCAGAGAGACAGAGACAGAGAGACAGACCAACATTAGCATATGGCTACACACATGCACGCACGTACACGCACACAAACACTCCGTCTCTCTCTTTGTGTCTCATTCGCGCACACACACACAGACACACGGGCACGTAAAAGTAAAGCGAGGGCCTAAGAACAAACATGAAAGAACTACGCCTAATGACAGGTGAATGGGGTCCAACTGGTCTGCCTTTGGGATGATTCTCTCCACAGGCCCTCTCTGGCCTCTCTGCTCTGTCATATTAAGTCCTGGAGAGATAATAAAGCAGCGTGCTGTTTTACCTTTTCTTCTGTCTTTGTTCTTTATAGTGTGTGATAAAACATGCTATGATAAGATATCAGTTAATTCAATTTGGTTAAATTCGGTTTGATTCGATTCGATTCGATTCAATTCAATTCAATTCAATTCAATTCAATTCAATTCAATTCAATTCAATTCAATTGTCCAGTCTATTAGCCCAAGCTGTGCCCTGACCAGCCCTGTGAGAGCAGTAATTGTTTTCAGAGGTTTCTGAGGTGAGCCAGTGCACCACACGCTGATCTCTTGCACCCCATGCCAAGCTCTCAAGCCAAGTTTGTGTGTGTGTGTGTGTCTGTGTGCATATTTATGTGTGCATGCCTAATTCAATGCTGCTGGAACAATTGCCCTGTGTCTGTTTGCAAATGCCCTGCATGGGTGTCCCTGCTAGTCAGGGTGCGTTAGACAAACCATGACACATGCAGACGCTCATGCGACACGTACGCACACACAGACACACAGCGACAGACACACAGAGTGCCATTAGGCATGTGTTTTGTCTGTGGCCAGCACAGATGTAGAGAGCGACTGCAGGGGTCTGGAACAGGCATGCCCACTTCACACCGACATCTATGATTGGCTTTGGCGGCTCTGGACCCCAGGAAAAGCATATTTGCCTCATATACTGTAGATATTCATGTGTGTGTTTTTATATTTGTGTGCGATGTGGCCAAAAAAAAGGTGGACAAATATGGTGAGTGGGAAATGGTACGCTTGAAATCCACAAAGATATTCTGAAATAGAAATAAGAAAACATGTTTTGTTTTGTGTGCATTTTTTTAATCAAAGCTTCATTTCATGAGACAAAGCAGTAGAAAAAACTTTAGCATGTACCAGATGTGCTGTTTTTAATAAATGACTAGTTGGTTAAACAAATCAAATAAATAACTCAGAAATACGATTGTTTGAACAAACAAATTCCAACCAAGGGCTATAAAAAGAACTGCCTTTTATGCCTTGCCTTTTACAGCCATGTCTGTCCTGCTTTGACCTTTTGGTTATAACATGTTGTGACTTTATCATTTTACCCAACATTTGTGTAAATTTGTTCTCATAATCAGAGTGTAAAATCTTGAGTTAAGACTAAAAATGTGTTTTGTGAGGTCAGAGTCACCGTCACCTTTGACCACCAAATTATAATCACTTTATTGTTGAGTCCAAGTGGACATTTGTGCCAGATTTAACTAAATTCTGCTCCCGATTTATCATGTTCATAAGAAAAGGACAAACGTTAGGCGGCAGTGACTTTGACCTCTGATCACCAAAATCGAATCGGTTCATCTTTGAGTCCAAGTGACTGCACAAAATTTGTGAATTAAAAAAAAAAAATTCTCTTGAGGCGTTCAAATGATATCATGTTCACAAGAACGGGACGTACAAACATATAGATGGACAACCCAAAAACATAATTCCTCAAGATGGAGAAAAACCCCCACAATGTAAGCAGCACCCACTGTGCTAC